GACGGCGTGAGCGCTAGTACCGAGGCCATAGACCCACGCACGCAGTCCCTTGCTCGGCGTCATGGTGGGCCCCCTTCTGACAGGCCGCGAGATATCGTCTTCTGGGACGGCACAGTTAGCAAAGCTCCTGATGATGGAAAACATGGCGATTTTGAAATTACTCGTGAAGCTGGTAATACTTCGTGGCTACCGCTACTTGCAGCTGGTGCGGATCGGGCGGTGTTTCGCGCTCGTCCAGCTGCTGGCCCTGCTGGCGTTGTTCGGCCAGGCCCCGTCTCTCTCCCATCCAGGCTCCGACTTGTAACAGATTTGTTGGCTTCTCGTCATATCTTCCTTGGTACTCAGCAGTTCCAGACGATGATGAACAGTGATCGGGCGTATGGGATGGCAACGCAATGGTATAATCAGCAGAGCAGCAGCAGCAGCGGAGCGCAGTGAGGGAGTAGTGAAGCAGCCGCATTCGTTTTCCACATTGAACTTTTTGTCGCCGACTGTGCTGGCAAGGGCCCATCTCGGTTGTTGCAAGGCGGGTTCTGGCCCTGTGGGCTCCGTCGTGTAGCGACTGCGTCGGCGTTTGCAAGCCCATGCTTCTCTTCCTCGGGTTTCGGTCTTGCCCTGGGATAAATCTAGGAGTGCCCCTCGCGGTCCCCTCACCCGTCGGAGATCGTGGGGACGTACCCTGGAGCCACCGTGGCTCCGTAGGGTACCGTCCTGTCGCCTCGAGGCCCAGCCTCTAGGCACGTTCCTGGCTTGATCAGGCTCGCCGCTCCAGAGTCATTTGGGATTCAATTCGTTGTTCTGCCCAGTGATGATTTTGATATAGCTGGATTGCATAGTGCATTCAGCTCTCTCCAGAGACATCGGTTGGAGCTCATGGTGATTGTCTGTCTGTCTGTCCTCCTCCTCCTCATCCTCCTCCTCATCATCATCATCATCGTCCTCCTCCTCCTCCTTCTCCTCCTCCTCCTCCTCCTCCGTTGTCATTTCGGATCGGGCCGCTGGAGCGCGCTCGAGTGGGCAGCCTCTCTCGAAGGGGCCATCCCAGGTGTCGTGCCTGGCTGGGCTGACACTTGCTGTATTTTCGCTGCCGCCACGCCACTCTCTCCAGGGGGTCTGGCTGCTATGGGCCAGGTGGTCGGCACCCAGCACTGGCCGTTGAGGACTGACTTGGCAGGAGTCATAGGCCAGGTCAAGTCCATGGACGAGAATTTCGAAGCAATGACTGCCAAACTCAAGCTAGAACAAACGAGCATGCAGGCCGACTTGGACCAGGCAAGGAGCTCATAGTGGACTGGCGCTGGCAGCGCTCCGACGCCTTGCACTTCGCCTCTGCCGTTGGACGATGGTCGCCCTGAGCCATCCAGCCCGACGCTTGTGGTCGTCGCCGGGCTGGACGCCAAGCTGATTGCCATGGGGGCTGCGATCAAGATGAGCCTCGCCTCTTCGCGTACCCCCTCTTTCGCTCTCGGCATTTTCGGATCCGTGGAGCTCCTTCGGCGGTGGGCCCAAGACCAAGAGGAGCCGTGGCTAGGAAGTAGTTCCTGGTCCTGCCCCTGCCGTTGGATCGACGAGCCCGCGCGGCGGGAGCAACGACGTGAGCGACAGGTGCAAGATATGGGCCATGTGTTTCCCACGCAAGCTGCTGTCGAGGGTGCCCCAGTCCCAGATCGAACTGATACGTGCTGCTGTTCCCGAGCTTCTAGTTGGAGCTCGCGCACAGTGTCAAAGCTACAAGCTATGCTACACGTTCAAGCTTGAGTGCGAGGATGCCGCTCGTGCCTTCCCCGCCTGGGGCAAGGACATCGGTTCCAGCCTGAGCCTGTTGTGGCGCGACCTGAAGATGGGGGATGGTTTTCCTTGCGATTCGGGCTTGACCAGCCATTGCACATGTGCCAAAGATCATACGCTCTGGGCCAATGTTGGGAGTTTATGCGTGCCCGCGTTGCTCCAGCACCGGGCCTGGAAGGATTCCTTTTTCGATGGGTGTTAACTGTCACGCCGGGTTATTGCCTCTTGCCTGCAGTGACAGTGAGGAGAGATAATGCGATCCACGACCTCGCCTTCACAATCACCATGCTTGATGACGTGAAGAGCAATGAATTCCCGATCGGTGTAGCCAACACCGCCCCCGACCTGATCCAGAGCAAGCTGCGCTCCAAGCGCAGTGGACATCTACAACATGCTGCACTGGAGTGTCAACGGGCAGTTCGCGGCATTTTGCCTGAGCCTACTTCGAGAGTTTCGGCGTCCACCTCATCAGCTTTGGGTTTGGTTCCTTCGACGGATCCGACTGCCTCATTGTCCACGCCCCCCTTTTTTCCATTTGTGTTTCCCTCTACTGTAAGCAGGACTGTTGGGCCCTCAGAACGAAGGCGTTGGGACTGCGCCGGGCATTCACCGCGAGGTGAAGCAGTTCTTTCCGCTCTCCCCTTCCTTCCTTCTCGTCTGGTCCCCGAGTGTTGCTCCGACCTTGGCACGTCTTGGGTAATTTAAATTTCGTAAGTTGGAAATTCAGCTGCTCTCTTTGGATGTGCATGGGGTGATCGCGCCCGCCAGCGCAAGACGCACGCGCGCGATCGTTGCCCCCTCGCCTAGCGTGCGTTCGTTTTCTCGCAGGGAACTCATGGGCCCATGGCCGACCTCAACACTTCGGACAGAGAGTATCCCAGTTCCGTTCATGTTGGTTTCCTTTGTTCTGATCACCGCGCAGGGGTCTGAAATCTGCGTCGCCAGGTCATTTCTCGACCCTTCAACTCTACGCGCGTTGGTGTCGTTCGTGAGGGGCGAATCATCGCCCTGCATCTGACAGCCCCTGCGGGCCCTTTTCCGTTGGCGACGTCCATCTTGCACCCGACTTGGGACGTCCGGAAGCCAAGCTTTGTCTCGCATGAATAATCTCGGACTCTTCCCCAGCAGCATCGCGCCCCCTGCATCGCAGGCGGCGGCTGGAACTTCCGCGAGCAGGGTGGAGCCCGTCGCTACGTCGAGGGGTGGCACGCCGTGCAGCGCGGATCGTCGATGGCACCCCATCAGCTTCATTCCCTCGCTCGGCTCGGCCGTCTGCACGTGGGCGCGCCGACTGGGCAAGCTCTCGATTGGCGCGCGCGCTGCAGTGGGCGGACATGCCCGCGATCTCACGTTCCCGTCGGATTGCGTTCCTGCGTTTGTCCAGATGGCCTGCAGTGCTTCGCGTGCACCCCATGTTCTGCGATGGCCCGACGCCCTGACTTCCCTGCCCTACTGGATCAGATGTTGGACGAACTAGATGTTGCCCCCAATCCCTGCAATGCCATATAAGACGTCGAGGCCGTGGCGCGTGCTGCGACTGGGGTTTCACTTCGAAAAAAACGCACTTTCAAGTTGGGGGCCCAGAAAGTCCCCCCGGAGATTGTAGCACTTCTGAAGTTCTTGCGCGCGGTTCGCGCCGGCCGAAGAGACTCCCCGAGGCAGCGCGTGGGCGCGATGCTCATTATGAGAATGCTACGACTTGGAGCAAATGGTCTTCGTCAATTATAACACTATCCACGGTTTCCTGAGGTGTCGGCGCCGCTCCAGAGCCGCGGCCGCGCTGGCTTCGCCGCGCCCGAACAACTCCGATGAACGCGGGGAGGGGAACGGCATTGTGGACCCAGATCTCATGCCCGTCGATGCGCTTGATGACATGCCTGCTGGCCCGCCGGACGACATGCCCGACGACTTGCCCGACGATGTACCCGGCGACTTGCCCGGCGATTCACGCGCCGGCTTCTTTCGGGAAGAAGGCAGGGACCCTCGCGGCAAGAAAAGGAGGCGGGACAAATAGAACAACCTGGTCGACCGACTTGCCGCTTGCCATGAGACGGCGAACTCGATCTATCCGAAAGCCCCCAAGCGCACCCGACTCGGTTAAAGCTCAGTTCTTTATCCGTATGAACCCAACCAAGTTCATCGTTGGTGACCTTAGTTGCAGCGACCCGATGCCCATTCAACTATCTGCCGCGAGCCTCGCCTGCCATTGGGGGCCCGCGCATGGCCAGACACCCGCGCGCGGTGCTCCGCATCCCCAAGTTTTGGAAGAACTTCAGCGGCATCTTCCCCCTCCTGTCCCTGGGATCGGTTTCGCTCCTGATTTCGCGACCTGCGCGGGCGCCGTGGCCGCCGGGCATGACTCGACCCCTGGCCCCGACGGAGTTCCGTATAGCGCTTGGAAGTGCGCCCGCAATCGCGTTCATCAGGTTCTACGTCGTGTTTGCGAAGTTCTGCCTGGCTACCAGATGCCCCCCGGCCGGCTGCAACTGTGGCGATGCTATCATCTTACTTAAGAAGAAACAATGGCAACGGAGGTGCCATCCTTGAGCCTACTTAGATCAGGATACTTTAATGATCAGCGACGACGACCTGATTTTCGCATCGTGCCTGGGCGCCCCCTTCTCGTAGCAAGCGCAGCATGGGACTTGAAGGTCTGATCGGGGGTTCGTCGGTGGGCGACGCATTCTGGACAACATCGTCGGTCTTGAATCTTGGGTCCTGGAGTGGCGCGCCTGGCGTGGGCGCCCCAATGCTGGCGTCCTCTTTCTGGGCGTAGCAGCGGCTTCCCCGCCCCTTCGCCACGGGGGGATCTCCCGCGTGCTCAAGGGGGTGGGGCTCTGGTGGCACGTCGTGCAGGCGGCTGCGTTTCTGCGCTCCGACATCGAGGTGCATCTCTCGACTCGAGGCGCGAACCTCCCGTTGCGGGGCGGCGCGGGGAAGTGTGAAGCAAGGGCGTCCTCTCGCAGAGCTTTCTTTCACCCTATCGGTTGACCCTATCATGCGTGGGTTGCTTTTCGCCCTGCTCGCCGCTGCTCTTCTGCCGATGATGTTGGATGTGCTTTTCGCGACGCGCGCCTCCCTTTGCCCGTCATTGTTGCGCGGATCGCGCAGAGCGCCGTCGTCGCCGAGCTTTGTCTGCACCCCGGCAAGTGCGTTGTAGTTTTTTCTGGGCACAGGGGGGCCCTTCGGACGCCGCGCGCGCTTCTCGGGCCATGGCGCTGCACGCGCGGAGCTTCAAGTTCCTTCCTCGGGCGCGTTCCCTGGCCCTGGAGGACGCGGCGGGAGCTGGAAAGCCCCGTGCGCCGAGCCGCTTGATCGCGCATTTCATGCTCGCTCGCCCCATCTCTCTCTCTCTCTCTCTCTCTCTCTCTCTCTCTCTTTTTTCTCTCTCTCTCTCTCTCTCTCTCTCTGTGCCAGGCCCCCCGACCAAGTTCGCGTGCTGGGCTTGCGCAATTGTTCGAGCAAGATCCTCACGGCCACGGTGAACGTGGCGCTGCAGGAGCCGCTGGCGAAGATCATCCCAATCTCCCAGAGAGGCTTCGTGCGGGGGCGGAACTTTGGGTACAACATCTTGGAGGTGGTCCTGGAATCGCGGTGGCACAGCGCTCAACCTGACGCGGTGCAGAAATCGCCGATCACGGTGAGCTTCGACTTCGCGCAGGCGTTCCCATCGCTGAACCAGCTCTTCTTGGTTATGGTTTTGCGCAGGTTCGGCTTCCCCGAGGCCGTGATCGAGTTCGTTATTGAGCTGTATGCGGCGGTGCTTGCGGTGGCGGCCATTGCTGGCGTTGTGATCCCTCTCTTCTGGCAGCGCTCTAGGATCATCCAGGGCGACGGCCTTTCGGGGTCGCTCTTCGCCGTCGCCATGTCGCCCTTTCTCTTTGACGCCGAGGCTGACGTGGAGAAGAAGCGACATGGGATTGTGCGAGCCTGCGCGGACGACGTGGCGGCTGTGCTGGTCGCCTTCGTGCACATCTTGCGCATGCTCCGCATAATGAGATGCGCGGACAGGCTTGCGAATCTGGTCTTGAAGCCGAGCAAGTGCCACGTGGTTCCCACGGAGGCGGCCTTTAGCGAGCCCCTGCAGTCCAAGATCCAGGCGATGCTGGCCCAGCGCGTACCGCAGTGGGCGGACTTCAAGGTCGCGCCCTGCCTCCTCTTCCTGGGCCTGTGGGTTGGCCCCGCAGTGACGCTGGAGATCGCCTGGCGCGCCCCCTGGCGCAGGTACAGGCAACGCGCTCGCGCTGTTGGGGACGGTGTCACCTCCGTCACGATGTCGGCCTGGTACTACGCAACGAGGGTCCTCCCCGTGTTGGGGTATGTCGGACAGTACTTGCCGCTCCCGTGGAACCTCCGGCGCGAGGAGCCCACGGCCTTGGCCGAGGTCTTCAAGATGCCGATCGGTGCCCTCACGGTGAAGGACTGGGTCCAGGTGAAGGGGTGGGGGGGGCCCGCGCGTGCAGTCGGCGCAGGTCGCAACAGTGTCGGCCCTCATCCGGGCCGCCGGCGTTGCGCTCTCGAAGTTCCGAGCGCTTCTCTCTCGACACCGGCGCCGAGTGGAAGGCGCCATTGACTTCGTGCCGTTGCCGATGGCCTCCTCGCGGGCGCTGGCTCCCATCTGGTGGAAGCTGCCCTCGTATGCGGAGTTCATGGCCGACGCGCTGGGGATCGCTGCGTTGCCCGAGGGAGCCAGCCACCCGCAGGCTCTTCTGACGGCTGGGCGCCAGGCTTTGTTGGAGGAGTTGGAGGAGGCCAGGCTGCGGGGGAGGAGGCGCATGGTGCAGCAGCGCGTGCACGCGGCGGTGGAGTCGGCCTGGCTTGAAGGGCAAGACCTGTCGCAGACATTCGAGCGGCGGCTCTTGAAGTGGTGGCCAGAGTTGGCCGAGAAGATACACGCCATCCCGTGGGGCCAGCTCGGGGACTTGGTCTCGACGGCGTCGCCGGCCTGGGCCTTCCAGGTCATCCGCTCGTTCTCCAGCGGCTGGCTCACGTCCCACAGGATCCTCGATGCCCGCGGGCGCCGTTCCTGCATCCTCGGCTGCGACGCGCCCGATTGCGTCAGCCACTACGTGAACTGCGACCGCCTCTCTTGGGCTGTCTCGCTGGCCTTGGGCAGGGTGCTGCCTGGCGGCCGCTTCATCGAAGGGGGGCCTCTCTTATGGCTCGGCCTGGGAACCGCGGCCGAGCAGCCGCTGGACGCCGAGCGGTTCGAGCACGTGGTCATTGCGTCCTACTTCTACCACTCGTCGCGGCAGGAGCTGTTCGTGCCGCCCGACGATGCGTTGGCGCTTGCGCGGGCTGCGCTCCGTGCCGCCCGGTTGAGTGCTGCTCCGGCGCAGCGCGCGAGGCAGGCTGCTCGCGGGAGCGCGAGGGCCGCGGCGGCTAGCGGCCGCTAGCCGGTGGGAGAACTCATTCCGATGCTACTCTGGTCTCTCTCTCTCTCTCTCTCCGTTTTTTGTTTGTTCTCTCTTTCTATATATATATATATATATATATATATATATATATATGTTTCTCTCTCTATATCTTTCTCTATCTCTCTCCCTCTCATGCATAACCCTCGCGGTCATGACTTGTTTGGTCTTCCTGTTCTCTCGCGCGCCCGGCGCGTCTACCCTGTCGCCGAGCACGCGATGGCGGGGCACGCTGCACTGCAGCGGTTTGCCAACGCGCCACGCCATGCTATCCCCAGTTCCATATTCTCCTCCTCCTCCTCCTCCTCCTCCTCCGCCCCGTTCCTCCTCCTCCTCCTCCGCCTCCTCCTCCTTCTCCTCCTCCTCCTCCTCCACCTCCTCCTCCGCCTCCTCCTCCTCTTCGTCCTCCTCCTCCTCCTCCACCTCCTCCCCCGTTTTCCTCCTCCTCCTCCTCCTCCTCCTCCTCCTCCTCCTCCTCCCCCTTCCTCCTCCTCCTCCTCCTCCTCCTCCTCCTCCTCCTCCTCCTCCTCCTCCTCCTCCTCCTCCTCCTCCTCCTCCTCCTCTTCTTCCTCCTCCTCCTCCTCATCATCCTCCTCTCCCCTACTTCTCCTCCTCCTCCTCCGCCTCCTCTTCCCCCTTCGTCCTCCTCCTCATCCTCTTCCCCTATTATTCCTCCTCCTCCTCGTCCTCCTCGTCTCCTCCTCCTCCTCCTCCTCCTCCTCCTCCTCCTCTCCTCCTCCTCCTCCTCCTCCTCCTCCTCCTCTCCCCTCCCTCCTCCTCCTCCTCCTCCTCCTCCTCCTCCTCCTCCTCCCTCCTCCTCCTCCTCCTCCTCCTCCTCGTCCTCCTCCTCCTCCTCCTCCTCCTCCCCCTTCCTCCTCCTCCTCCTCCTCCTCCTCCTCCTCCTCCTCCTCCTCCTCCTCCTCGTCCTCCTCCTCCTCCTCCCCCTTCCTCCTCCTCCTCCTTATCCACAGGTGCCCGCCCGAGAAGTTCAATCGCTTCTCGTCGCCCACCGCCCCGGCCAACATCCCGAAGCTCAACTTGGACAAGGCTATCAGCAGGCCAGGAGGGGCGGCTGTCGCGCGGCGTGGCTCCTGCTGCTGTTGTGCCCTCCTCCTCCTCAACATTGTCCCCCTCCTCCCCCTCCTTCCCCCCTTGTCCCCCTCCCCCGCCCTCCTCGCCCTCCGTCTCTTCTCCTTATAAGATGATTTCTCCCTGCTGCCCTCCGAGACGTGTCGATGAGGCGGGCGGACGTTTCGCTCGAGATCTCCTCACCATCGATGAACCTCAAGCACGAAATTCACAATCGCTTCACGGATAGAGGGCGGGCGGTTTTCAAGACGTGGTTCTCGCCTTTAGCGCCGCACATTCGTCCCCGCCTTCCACAGCTACAACAAGATGAAGCAAGTTGCCACCCCGACGCCCGACCTTATCGCGTCCGCGCTCAGTGCAGCCTGTGCCCTCACTCAGCGCGAAGTCGTCCCGTGCGCCGCCCGCCCAGCCGCAGAGCCCGCCCCGACTGAGCCGGGCGCCCCGGCGACACGCGTCGCCCCCAGGGTATGTCACTCTTCCTCCTCCACTCCTCCTCCTCCTCCTCCTCCTCCTCCTCCTCCTCCTCCTCCTCCACTCCTCCTCCTCCTCCTCCTCCTCCTCCTCCTCCACCTCCTCCTCCTCCTCCACCTCCTCCTCCTCCTCCTCCTCCTCCTCCTCCTCCTCCTCCCTCCTCCTCCTCCTCCTCCTCCTCCTCCCCCTCCCCCTCCCCCTCCCCCTCCCCCTCCCTCTCCTCCTCCTCTTCTTCCTCCTCCTCCTCCTCGCCCTCCTTTCCCTCCCCTCCCGTTCGCCCGCCCCGTCTGTCTGCCCCATCCTCCCTCCTCCTTCCTCTTCTCCTCGAGAGGGCCCCATGGGAGCCCCAAGAGGCCACCAAGGCCCGTCCAAGTATCTAAAAGGCTAACCACGTCCAGGAGTCCCCCAACACGCCCCCCAGAGGCCCCTCCCCGAAGTGAAAGAAGGGAGTTGAAAGAGGAAACGCTCAAACCTACATACGCCCAGCTTCTGGGATTGAGAATGATTCGTGGATCCCGCACGTGACGCCTCTCCAGGAGAGCCCTCCTCCTCCTCCTTCTTCTGCTCTCCTCTTCCTCCTCCTCCTCTCCTCCTCCTCCTCCTCCTCCTCCTCCTCCTCCTCCCCCTCCCCCCTCATCTCCACCTCTCCTCCTCCTCCTCCTCCTCCTCCTCCTCCTCCTCTCCTCCCCCTCCTCCTCCTCCTCCTCCTCCTCCTCCTCCTCCTCCTCCTCCTCCTCCACCTCCACCTCACCTCCTCTCCTCCTCTTCCTCCTCCTCCTCCTCCTCGTCCATCCTCCTCCTCCTCCTCCTCCTCCTCCTCCTCCTCCTTCTCCTCCTCCTCCTTCTCCTCCTTCCCCCTCCCCTTCTCCCCTCCTCTTCCCTCCTGGGAGCTAGCCGCCGCGCGTGGTCCGTCCCCTCGCACCGACGAGGTGGATGCGGTCGCTTGGTTGGTCCGACCGAAGGGCCCGTCAAGCCCTCCAGGACGCGGCCGCGTCAGATCACTGGGAAGGAGAGCGGGTTGGGCCCCCCCCCAGGGCCCGAGTCAGCGGGAGGCTGCGGGCGCTCGTCCAGGCGCCCCCAAGGCTTTCCTAGGTGAGGGGGAGGTGGCGCTGCGACCTGCGCGGCGAGAACGCCACCGCGGTCTGGCTCGAGGCTGCATGCGGCGGGCCGCGCCGCCTTCCCTCTCCCCTAAGCCGCTGCCGTTCTCACCGCTCCCAACATGTCGGGGGCGCTGATCTCTCGGGCGGTGGGGGAGGTGTGGGCGGGCGGGCAGCTTGTG